TCTCCCATTCTGCAGTATTTATTACTTCAATGTCTAACTTTACACCCTCTCTGCTTTTTTAACATCATAGTAACTTCTTGTTTGGCTGTGACTCCATCCTGGAGAGAAATATTAGCTGGGGCCAGGAAGACCAGGATTGAGAGAAATACAGTTTTTTTCCCATTCAATGCCATGTGTCAGCACAAATTCCAAAATATGAAGATGAGAATATGTAGAACTATTCACATTTAATTATTTTAATGTGAGTTGTCAGTTTCAGGGTAATATACTAACAAGTAAAACATTAAATTAAGACATTCCACTTGATAGTATCACTGCTGCCGCCCTCTTGTTTAGTGAGAAACTGTCTTTTCTCAGAGGTGGACAATTACATAGGAGCAACAACAAATCAACTGTTAGAGTTTGCCACAGGACTGGGCAATAACTGGTTAGGGGTGTCATTGGCTGCAAGACTTACCATGGTCATAGTGATCCTTCATGTTTATTGTTTCATTAACTTTTACCTTTTCAGACATTCTTCCAGTCTTTTCATTTTTTTAAAACGATGTACATTGCTTATAATAATGAAGGAAACAACAAACAATTCAATGCACTGTAACACCAAGTCAGTCACAGTTCTGTGAAATTAACCTTTATAGTTAGGAAGCAGCACCAATGAAGTCTGATTCTTCTGTTATGTAAATTAATACTTTTACTTAGTATGATTGCAAATCCGGACTTTAATGCAACAATCATTTCCCCATGATTCCCATGGATCATTTAATGTGTTTTTGTGTTTTTTGTAATTATTGCGCTTTTCAATCCTCTCAATTTGACTAAATCTCAACAAAATGGAGTTATTTGCAATACAATATTCCTCTTATTGAATAGACTAAGTGGACTAAGAATGATCTAGACTGAAAGGAATGAACAAATGATTAAGATTAATAAGAGCAAAAATAATTATAACAACAAGAATATTTTCCCTTTATTTGCAGCTCCACATAAACACATTAAATACATTTGCTCAGATTCATCTTGCTTCTCTTCTATTCCTTCAGCAAAAAAAAAAATCCTTTTCAGGGGGTTTCTGGCCAAAGGACCAATCTACTGTGCCCAAAGCGTATTGTGTACTTTCCATTTTTTGCACTTGTTTCATTTGTAATTCATCACGCAGTGTCTTGTCAGGAGCCATCCTCAGTCTAATGATTTTTCAGTGTCCTGAAGTGAAACGATTCGCACCAAACTTGTCCCTGAAAGCAGCTGTCTGCCTGTGGTGGCTCTAGAAAAGGTGAGAAAACTTCCAGTCACTGAATGGGGATTTGAAGCAGCCTAAAGTTCTCCCCAGTGAGACGAGCCGCCTGGTCCCTGTGTTCCTCTGGTTCTGACCTTTACCTCTGTGGCCAAGTCAGCTGTCCTTGAGGGAACAAAAGAAGAAAGAAATATTAACATTTAATTAATTGTTTGCATTCATACACAGAATCTGGGTCAGTTGTTATACCATGTAGATCTACCACCTCCATTCATCCATAAGGTCAGAGAGCTCTTTAAGCCAACAACTAGGTTGTTCCTTTGTAATATCAGTATGTTTTGCCTTTTAGATACAGGGCACTCTTTTGTATCGTACATCTACAGCAAATGGAAGTCTGAAGTATATTTTGAACATTTCAACAAAATTCTTGAACTGCGCTGCTTAATTTGGCTTCATGTTGTAGTAGCTCTGCTGGCTTGACCCTGATATACTATTTTAATAGTATCAGAGAGCTTTTTTCCCTTCAGTTTCATCGTTTGTGGAACAGTTTCTTTTTTGGCGTTGCTCTTTGCTTCTGGTGTTAAATCCTGTGAAAGCGGAAGGTTTTTTACTGAACCCCTTTCCTTTTTGGATACTTCTTATGATGCATAACCACAGCAACTATAGTAAGTAGATTTTTTAAATCCTGGAACAAATAGTTAACATATTTAAAGCTGAAATAATACATCAACAACTTCCACTTGTACAAGCTAAGTTGAAAAGGAGGCCCGGGGATTCATAGCAGGAGCAAGGAGACGAGGGAGGAACAAGAAACTTAAGGCATATCTTCCAATATTGGTGGGAAATGTGAGATCTTTAAGAAATAAGAAAAAAAGAACTCAAAGCCCTATCAAGGATCCAGCCAGAATATCGGCCATGCAGCAACATGTGTTTTACTGAAACATGGCTGAAGGATCATTTCTCAGAGAACAGCATCTCTCTGTCTGAAAACACGAGCAGACAGAGATTTATAAAAGACTGGGAAGTACAAAGGAGGTGGGTTGGCAGTGTTAGTGAACAAAAGATGGCATCATCCAGGACAGTTTACTGTGAAGATTAATCACTGTGGCCCAGATGTTGAATGGTTGGCAGTTTTCGGCCATATTATTTGTCCAGAGAGTTCAACAGTGTTCCACCATCTGCTGTTGCCAATGCTGCATGTCATATAATCAGTTCTGTTGCCAAGCTACTGACACAACAGCCATATGCATTTGTGGCAATAACTGGTGATTTTAATCAGTCTTCACTCTCTGCTGCACCAATGTTCCAAAACTTTGATATCTGCTGAACCAGAGAAAACTTTGGACCTGTCTTATGTAAATTTTAAGGACTCCTATACAAGAAAGAAATAAGCCTTTAAGAAGGGAAATGAGGAATTAAGGAGTACACAGAAGTAACTTAAGGTCAAGATAAGAGAAAGCAAGGAGGCAACAGGAAGAGGCTGGAAAAGAAGCTGCAACAGAATAATATCAGAGATGTGTGGTCAGGGATGAAGAAGATCACAGCCTTCAGGCAGAAGGAGGATCAGACAGATGGAAGTTTGGACAGAACCAATGAACTGAATCAATTCTTCAACAGGTTCAGTTCAGGAACTAGCTCAGCATATTCTCTTCTCTGCCATTGACTTGAGGTATCTGGAAACACCAAATCATTATAAGGCGCCAGAGTCCTGAAGGTCTGTGCAGAGCAGCTCTGTGGGATTCTGCAGAAGTCTCTGCACCCTTAAGCCTGGTTTATACTCAGAAACCAGGTTGTCTCTGTGTGTGTTGCAGTTAACACAGAAATACCCCCCCTCCCAAACCCCCACCCCCATTCTAAAGACACTGTGGTGCCCCTACCCAAAATTGTAGGTAACTGCAGACAGTACCGCAGGTAGTGTTGCAGGGAGGAGAAAAAGGAGGCCTCTGATTGGTCAATTCTACATGCGTCCTCTACACGACGTATTTTTTGTTTGGTACGTAATGGCAGAAACGCTGTGGTGCCGTCCACAATGCCTGGCACACCTCGGACTCCATCCCAGACACCTTGCAGGACGCTATTTTGTATCTCTGTGCGACAGTCTGTTGGTTTGCACCAGAAAGCCAAAACACGCAGCGCCACGGCCAGTCTTTCAGGAACATTCACAGGTGAACTGTGTCGACCAGCATTGGATAAGGCTTTGTAGACGGCGAACAAGCTCCGGAATAACATAGCGCTGACCATGCTTCAATATTGGGCATAAAGAGGTCATAGAGAGACTTCTGTTGGTTCTCCTCAGCAAACAAACCAGCAGGACCCCGGACAGTTTGCTTATGGCCATTGAGATGAAGTTGATGATGCCATCACACACCTGCTTCAACAAACCCACTGTCATTTAGACAAGGCAGACAACTCTGTGAGGATCATGATCTTTGATTTCTCCAGAACATTTAACACCATTCAGCCTGACTGATTTTGTGAGAAACACCAGAAGACTCAGATGGAGGCATCAACAAAACCTGGATAAAGAATGTTTGAATGGAACTGAATTTAGATAGCATTAGCACCTACCGACGTTTACCTTTGTTTTACTCCTTTTTTGTTTGCTAATCTCTTTGCTATTTTCAGCACCGTCATGGAGCAAGGAGGATCTTGCAACGTCTGAGTTCCATCTCAGTTACTTCAAGTTACTAATCCTATTGGTGCAGAATCCTTACGTTTGGATGTTGGCATCACAACTGGAAGTAAATATTTATATATTCTGTGTCTAAAACATTTATTTTTGTTATTACTTTATGGTATGCTTTATGGCACATGGTACAAAATATGTTTCCAATTTTGGTTAAACCTATTAAATGTATTTTACAATTTTTTGGACCAACAAAACCTATTTCTCTTAATTTGAAGGTTACAAATTTTCTTCCATTACTTATTTAGAAAGGGGAAACAGCAACCGCATAATATCCCATGGTGTGCACCGATATCCCTTAATTAATTAGCTCTTTCACCATATGCACGATAACCTACAGCCAAGGATGAATCCTATCAATAAGTCCCATCCACAATTTTAACAGACTTCACATTAGCTTCCTCCTTATGTCAATCATTTCCCAAGACATCACTACATCAGAGCTTACTGCTGGGGAGAAGAGAAGAGGTTATGCTCCACTGGACACCCCACTCGCCAGTGTAAATGGTAGTAGCATCAGTTTAGCATTTCATCCCATTATGCACAGCCAGCGTCGTAACATTAAAGAAATCCCACAATAAACCAAGACATGAGTGGGTTTTTACTTAAGCCTTTATGATTTCTACAGGCAGGTTTACCATAATAGTAGAATCAAAGCCTGAAATTACGGTTTTTAGTTTCAGTGTGCCACCCCAAGATATTTAGTGGCCCCGTCTGGACACCCCTATGAAAGATTTCTGGAGCCACCACTGGGTATGGGGCATTGCAGGCTAACAAAGAGGCCAAATGACCCCAATTCCAAAACGGTGGACCTGTTCGTCCGTTTCAATTTGCATGTTTTCTATACAAAAACAAGGCCTTGTTGGGCTGTGGTATGAAGCCTCGAACTCAACTCTATTTCTGACATTTCGAATTAAAAAGTTCCCGGAAGGAAAACCAAAAAACCTCAAAACTGGAAAAAAAAGCCAAAAGAACGGTTTTTTAAACGTTTTTGAAGTTCATTTCTTGCATTCTTTTCCGTCTCTATTGCTTTATCTCTCCCAGTGGTTTTTATTCTCTTTTTTTCCTCACCTTCCTTTCTGTCTCTGTGTCCTTTGTACATGATTTTACTCCCTAAATAATTTTAAATAGTTTATTTACCAGTGTCAAGTGTTACCTAATGACAACAGTAGTAATAATCTTGTGAAAGCAAAAGCTGTTAGGCTATCATCTAGCTCTGGAACATCTGTTACCAGATCCATATTGGCAAAATAGGAATAAAAAAATAAAAAAAACTCCTTTGGTTCTATTACCTTCACAGTATTGGTTTCTCCATTCCGTCTTCCACAGATGTCTGGCCTCTGATGATAGTCTCCATTGCTCTGTGGGGAAGCTCCAGGCTGCTGTCTGTCATTGTGGTTTTCCCAGCTGGCAAATCCTACATTTTTAGATGCTTTTCTATGAGTTCTGTATTTCATCTTAGGGAAGGTGTGTGAGCCACTGTCTGCACACCCCCAGCTAAGCTCAGGCCATAGCGGCTCAGTCTGTGTGGCTTGGTTGGTGGTGGCCCTCTGCAGGCACACAGATATTCTTTGTGCTGAGCCTGTCATTAGGGTGATGGACTGAGGCTCGGCAGGCTGACCTGCAAAGGGGACAGCGGGGAACTCAAACACATCGTCCTCATCTGCAGGAGGGAAACATGACAGGAAAATGTTTCAGTTCTTGGAAAATACACACAAACATGGCATGACTGGGTAAAATAAAAAAACAAAACAAATATAAATGCATTCTGTTCAAAGAAACTGTTCTAAACACGGATGCAGATTTTTGAAACTGACAATAAACAGTAAAACTGACAAATTGTAAACAGCTCAAGATGAAAGCTCAATGTTTCAGCCTAGGGAGCTAATTTCTGGATTAATTAGCCAATTTGTCTCATCAACCAACTAGTGATTAATTCTTGAGCAGCCATTTTTCTTTTATCAGTCTTTGAATAATATGAAGGGATCATTTTAATGCATGCTGAATCAAAATAAAGATATGGAGGTTATTATACTCAAACCATTTATTGTGCATGCTGTATACTAACCAAACAAAAGACATTGTTAATCTCAGAGATGGTCAAAATTGGACATGTTGCTAGAATAAAACCAACCAGTAACTTATTAGGTTACCAAGTGAATAAAAAATAAGATGAATAGAATAAAACCAACATGATCTACTTCTTATTGACAGGGAATGTTGCCCTTACATGCTGTCAGACTTTACTGCCACTTCAGATCAACAAAGTTCAATTCAGTTTATTTATATAGCATCAATTCACAACACATATCATCTCAAAGTATTTTACCAAAAGTCATTGACTATACAGGATTCACCTTCCTAGATGAGCATAGGGTGGACACTAACAGTGACTCAGCTCTAAGCTTGATGGAAACAGGAATATTTCAATATTTTGACATTTTGCATAGAGTGAAAATTGTAAATGTAAAAAAGAGATGGAAACGTCTTTGTCAAATGAGTTCTGACATGGTGAACATTTACCTTGCGTGAATGCAGGTGAATTAACATATTGCACAGTTGCTTCTTCTCAATCTCTCTGGATAGCGTGTACCATTGCTAATAATACCAGAAAATAATAAGGTAGACATCTTTCCCAATTTCAACACATTCATTAAAAGCTTTTCCATCTGTGGTCCAAGCTAGCTTTCTGCTTCTACTTTCTGTTAACTACAATGTAATGTTGATATGGGACAGCATTTACTTTGCTTTTCCTGCTCAAATAAGGATCATTAATAAGGATAATTAAAGCTACATTCAGACTGCAGCAGGAGCATCAAAAACGTGCATGGTGCTTCATTTTTGATGCTTGTACAGGTTTAGCTCTGACGCGTGACTGAAGCATCTTCGCTGCTCTCGGTGCGCGGTGGGAAAAGTGGGTCTGATGTGCTTTGGGCGGAGCTACCATGTCCTTTCTTTGCCTGTAACAATGGCAGCTACAGTAGATTTGCTGTGATCAGTGAGTAAAAAAGTAGTTTGAATATATTTTTCAGTGAGAAAGTCCTCCTGAAATCATTGTCTGTATGGTCAGTTTATCCAAATTACCATTCTTCCTTCAAATATTATTTCTTTCTGAGCCGCTCAGACCTCCACATACGCGGTGCGCTGTCACTGGGAATCCCCAGCAGCAGCTGCCTCAGGCCCGGTCTCCTATTGGGGATTTTCCCCTACTGTTGGTGGTGACTGGAAGTAGATGTTAGCGTTTTTCAGGTCTGTACTGCAAACTGCAGGCACTGGGATAATAAAAGTGAACATATTTTGGTGGCAGATTTTGGTCTTTTAAGTTAATTAAGTCATTAATAAACTGTTTCAGAGGATTGATCATAGCGCTCTGCATTAGCAGCACTGTGTCTGTTAAGGATGTAAATCACATCCATCATGGCGATTCGATTCAGTATCGATTTCCTGACCCAACGATTCGATTATTTTCAATAATCAGTGCAATGAGTGCAATTCAGAGCCGCAGACAGGAGGCCGGCTTGTTTTGTTTTTATTACTGAAATGGCGGGAAAAAACGCATGAAGTTTGACCCGCTAGAAGAGTGAGGTGCGCAAGAACGCTGGTCCCCTTTTTCCAGCTGGATCTCCGCTCTTTTTGGCCCTCATGTCCCTCCATCGTCGGACTAAACTCGCCCCCACTTCCTCACCGCCTCGGCCGTATCTAGACCCACAGAGTATAGCACCACCGCAGCACGGGAGGGAGGATTATGTCCAGGAGCAAATAGATAAAAATAGACCGGAGGAAAAAAAAAACATTAATCGATACTCTTGCGCACGTATCGATGCATCGGATCGTCGGCTGTTGGATCGATGCATCGATACAAAATGATTATTATTTACACCCCTAGTGTCTGTCTCCCTGCCAGCTCCCAGATCAGCTTCTCTGATTGGTTGATGTGTCCTGTCCAGCAGCAAAAGTTCAATTTTTCCAACTCCAGCAGCTGCTGCTTCTGAAGCTCATCAGATGCTCAGAAGCTCATGAGGCGCTGCTTCAGCTGCTCAAAATACTCTGCAGGACTTTTTGCTGCACCTTGATGCACTTTAACCATTGACTTTGCATGTAAACTAGTGCCTCTGCTGCTTGCGGTCTGTACGTAGCATTAGATGAAAACACAGCAAATGTAATCCAACAGTTGGAGAGAGCAACACTTTCTTCTGTTAGCCATGTTTTAAAATGTGTTGTCCAGCTCAGAGGCACATTAAAACTTCTAACTTTTAGATGATATTTCAACTATATATCTGGATTAGTTTTGTTTGTATCTATAGTAAAGAATCTATAGAAGAGGATATTTCAATTCTACAGAGTAAAAAAAAATAATAATTTGAAAACAGATTCAGGCAAACATTCATAACACCAGAATACAAGTTATAAGTAACAGTGTGTGAAAGCAACCTTTACATGTGGGCAGTGTTGGGCTGTTGGGCAAAGAGCTGTGGGTCAGCCTGGCTGGAGCATCACTGCTTAGTGAGCATGTGCGGGTCTGCTTCCTGCAGGCCAGAACCAACAGTTCCCGACATTGCTTATGACAGTTAACGCCACAGTCTGCAAAGCAAACACATTCATTATCCCCTGACTTGCTTAAAGTATTCGAGCAGCACAAACGCAGACCAATGCTAGTGTTAATCAGTGACCATGTAGTTAAGAGTGAAAAGAAAAGCAGCTGATTTCACTTCGTCTGTTTCTCCTCTATCTAATTTCCCCTGGTGAGTGAAGCGGCTGACGTACCTTTGCACTTGTAGCCTTGTTTGATGATTCCCCATAGCTGCATGCGGAAGCAAAAATAAAGGAGAAGGTTAGAGAATACGCCCAGAAACCGACTCAAGCGCAGCAATCTATGGTGGCCAAAACAGCCAATAGGGAACACCGATTAACACCCAATTTCTCACAGTTGGCATGAGAACACAAAGCACCGCCATGAGAAGAGAACATTTTTAGAGAAATTCTGGGAGCAAATGCTGATGAAAAAATGTAATTCTGAAACACCATCTGAAAAACTAACCAATATACAGTTTTGGGACAATTATTATGTATTCATCTCTCTATCCATCATCCATCCATCTCTCTGTCCATTCATC